CTTAAGACTACAGGAGCTCTTCTTCCCCATTCCCCTGCCAAAAGGACAGGATTTCTACACACCCAGCAACCCTGGCTCTCCAAGGCATCTGCCCATCATGACTCAAACAAGGGGGTGAGTCCCTCCACATGCACTGGCTCACATTTTCCTGATATTCTGCTCAGAAACATGGGTATTCTCTTGGATTTTAGCTACCTCTATGGCATCCTGCAGCTCTGCTGAGAGCACACCATTGCTCAAGGGAAGAAAGAAGGAAAATCAGGGATAAATTCACCCCACTAGCCCCTGACACAGGTCTATTCTCCAGACTTCAGTTTCTCCCAATCTGCCAGTTTGCCTTTACTTTTCTGACTCCTCAGGTAATTGGTCCACAGATTTTAGTGCAATCAACAATCAACAATCAATATAAGGTACAGCAGGCTAGCTTCCTCCCAGCCACGGTCTCCTGGGCAACATTGGCATCAGCTGCTGAGGCAGCATCTGTTTTGACAACTTCAGACGTCCAAAAGAGCTCTCACACACCTGAGTGCAGGCTGGTTCTTCCTCCCTCTTCCCCTCCATCATGCTGTCAGGGTGGGAAAGACCTGGTCACTAGTTCTTCTAAAAGCATAGCATTCACTGCACAACTTGTTTAGCCTCCTCATAGCTGTCACTATTTTAAACCCTAATAAAGAATGAGATGGAGACAGAACAAAACTACCAGAATTGGGACAGCACCCCTGTCTAGTCCCTAGTCTGTAAGCCTCAGCTGCATGTCAGCCCTTCAGCCACGCCAGGCTTATGGTGCTAGGTTAACTACTCAAAGTAAACAGCTGTTCAAGTATGCCAGTGCCACTGATGACTAGACCTAGTCTATACGCACCATAAGGTTGTTAAAAGCACCAAAGAAAGCCTGTTAGAAATTCTGACAGCTTTCTTTAACAGAGGCATTTATACCCATTTGGCTCTTTTCACCAATGGCAAGATAGAAAACTATCCAGAAAGGAGCCTGGATAATAGAATTGGGTTCAGATGTACAGCTAAATCTGTCTTCCCTTTATTACCTTTAGTTATAACAGAAAAAGCATAAAACCTGTCCATAGAAAATAAATGTGAATGTTTCCAGAATACTGAAAATAATTCTTTGCTTAAACAAAAATCCATTATCCAATGGTATATCAAAACCTACTAAAAGGGGCTGGAGAGATAGCTTAGGGATTAAGAGCACTGACTGCTCTTGCCGAGGACCCAGGTTTGATTCCTAGCACTCACATGGCAGCTAACAACCATCAATAACTCCACTTACAGGGGATCCGACACCCTCTTCTGACCTCCGAGGGCACTGCATGGCACGGGTGCACCTACGGACATGCAGGCAATACACTCATACACATGAAATAAAAATAAATAAGGACTGGAGAGATGGCTCAGCAGTTAAGAACACTGGCTGTTCTTGAAGACCCAAGTTCAAATCCAGCACCCACATAGCAGCTAACATCTATCCGTGACTCCAGTTCCAGGGGATCTGACAGCCTCTTCTGTCCTCTATGGGCATTGTACGACATGGGTACACTTAGCTACATGCAAGCAATACATGCAAACACATAAAAATAATAAATAAAATATTTAAAAAATAAATAAAATATTGTTTAAAAAAAAACCTACTAAGAGCCTATACGATGCCAGACCCTGGCCAGTGTGCATGAACACAGCAGTGAGCAAGCAGCCTCCTTGCCCTCATTGAACATCCATCCACTAAAGAAGCCAAACAAACAGATGAACAGATAACATTCGTTCATATAAACATGTAGAGTGTAACTTCAGGTACTGCTTACTACCATCAAAATAAAGCAGGGAAGGAGATGGAGAGTGATAGAGGCAACTTGGCATGGAGAAAGCTCTGAGACAACACTGAAGGCATGAACTGGAAGCACACAGCAGGCTATGTAAAGACAGGGACACAGGAAAGCAGAATGTTCCAGGCAGCAAGGAACCCTCAGGAAAAACTCCACTGCATTCAAGGATCAAAAATGAAGTAATTTTCCTGGCTGAAAGGCTTGAATCAGAAAGAGGCAGTGAAAAGAGATGAGCAGGAGTCCAGCCATGAAGGCCTTTTGGGGCCTGGGAAAGGGTTTGGATATTGTTCCCTCCATGGGGTTGTGCTACATTGCCTAGGCTGGCCTCAAGCTCCTGGATTCACACGATCCTGTGAGTAGTTAGGACTACAGCAGTATCTCTCTCTCTCTCTCTCTCTCTCTCTCTCTCTCTCTCTCTCTCACACACACACACACACACACACAAATCCAGAGCAAAGTCCACATCTACCTCATTGTTAATCCAAACAGATCAAGGAGAAAATAATGCAAAGTCAAATGATAAAGGGAATACTGAACAATTAATCCATTTCCAAAACACCATTATCACTAGCATGATGGCATATGCCTTTAATTGCAGCACTCAGGAGGTAGAGCCAGGCAGATCTCTATGGGAGGCCAACCTGATCTACACAGCAAGTTCCAGGCCAGCCAGCACTACATAGTGAGATCCTGTCTCAAAAAAATTTTTTTAATTTTTAAAAACACATTATTTATGACTCAAATAATGTTCTCAAATGCCAAATTATTCCTTTTCTATTAGAGATAAAAAGTAATATAAGACCTTTAATGTTTTTTAAACTGTGTGGGGTGGGGGTGGAGGGAATGCACCTGAAGGTCAAAGGATAACTGTGTGGAGTTGGCTCTCACCTTCCATCTTTACTTGGGTTCAAAAGATATAACTCGGGTCAGGCTTGGGCAAAAAGAGCCTTTCCACTGAGCCATCTCAATGGCCTACATTCTGCCTCTGAATTTTTACTTTTATTATAGAAGTCTTCATACTACAATGAGTCCCTAGGTTACATAATCCCCTTCAACAATTACAAAGTACATGCTGGTCTTATAGGGAGGGAAGGGAGGAAGGAAAGAATGTCAGTGGAAAGATGTATGTTACCAAGATGTAAATTAGCATCAAAATGGGAAAACTGGGATTGAGCTTGCAGAGAGTACATTAATACATGGCCCATATATCCAACATACATGTAGACATAGAGAGGGATATGGGTCAACATGTTTATATAGCATGGTCAAAAAGAGGGACCAAATTAACTTGTTCTTTGCACTGATTGCTCTCTACTTTTTTGAGGCAAGCTCAGGCCTGCCTGCAATTTACTATATAGCCCAGGCTGGCCTGGAACTAATGATTCTCCTGCCTCAGTCTCTTGAGTGCTAAGATGATAGGCATGTGCCGCCATGCCTAACTAAACCTGTTTTTAATTTTTTTAAAAAGATTTTATTTTTACTTTTAGTTATGTGTATATGCATGTGTCTGTGGGGGGGGGTATGTACACATGAGTGCAGGAGCCCACAGAAGCCAGAGCTATCAAACCCCCCAGGAGCAGGAGTTACAGGTGGTCATGAGTCCCCTGATGTGGTTATTCGGAAATGAGCTCCGGATCTCTGGAAGAGCAGTATGTGCTCTTAACTGCCAAGCCATCTCTCCAGCCCATAAACCTGTTCTTTAAAATAAATGTGTATTTAAGGATATGCCACTTGGGGGGGGGGGGGTATTACAGGTAGCTGTGATGCTCAAAAAAAAGCCATTATATATGTAATTTCTATTTCTGCAATCCAGAAAACTAAGAGTACAATAAATAAAAACAATCTATCAGAAGACATTAAAAACCCAAAAGAAACTGCCTGCTATTTCACAAAATTTATTTTGTGAATGTAAGGTTTGCTTTGATTCTAAACCCTTAATATGCCATAATAAATGAAGTTGTACTAACATTTCACACATATAACACACCAGACCTGGGGCTTACACCACAAGCCCATATCTGGAAACATATTCACCTGGAAATGCCCATGTCAAGGACAGAATGTTCAATGCCTAAATGAACACATTTGTTAACTGGTATTGGCCAGTGCATACCTGGTGATACTTAGCCAGGGAAAATGACAAACGTCTACAGAAAATGAGAAGCTCTAGCTCAAATGATTCTCCTCTGTCAAAATGGATAAAGAAAATGTACATTAGATACCATGGAATTCTTTTTTCAGCCACAAATTACAATAAAGTTACGTCACTGCAAGAAAATGGACACAAGTGGAGATGATCATATTATGCAAATTCAACCAGTCTCAGAAAGACAAAAATTGTATATTTTCTCTCACTTGTGGTTCCTAGATTTTACAGATACCTAAAATCATGTGTGTATATATGACATCATAGTAGAGGAGAAGCTGTTGAGAGGAGCAAAGGAGACTAGCTGAGATGGGGAAGGAGAGGCAGGGGAAGGGGGGAGAATGGACATTGTAGAAAATGTCCTTACTTAACACAGAACCATGTAATGAATATGCACAATGAAAATGGTTCTTAAGTTTTTCTTCTCTATAAAATAAAGGGAGGAAAACGAAAGAAGAGAACAAGGAGAATGCAGCCTTGCTTAGATGGGTGCTGTGGTTTGAGGAACTGAGGAGCAAAAAACTGTGGCCACTAAGAAGCTTTTAATCTCAGCTACTGCCTAACCACAGCTTGGCAAGCATTTCCTGTTTGTTCAATGACTTTGCTAACTGATGTATGAAATGAATGGGACTCCCATTTGGAAAATGCTGTACTACTTACCCCACCTGCTGTTCACAGCTAACACTGTACTTTGGTTGCTGGTTTCATCCCAGTTGAGAGGAAACCCACGTTCTACGCAATGGATCCTACCTACACCTGGCCTGACTTTCTCTTCCCTGAGCCAGGGATTGAACCCAGGACCTTTCTGGCATGCTAGGCACAGGGCTCTAACACTGAGCTGTACCTCCTACCCTTGGCCTGATATTTTCTGCTCATTGTTTTGGAACTGGAAAAGGGTTTTGTAATTAAAACATCTAGTTCAACTTTCATTTCACAGATAGGTCAATTGTTCTTGATTTAATTCAGATAAAAGGTGCTTACAAATTTATTTTTCTTGCTGCCCCACCCCTTTTTTTTAAGTGTGTAGGGCATTTCCTCAGAGTAAGGTCCCATTTTGCAACCCTCCTCACACAATGACCAGATTCCTATTGGGTGTGTTATAAACAGAGAAGCCATTCTTCAGGCCCCCTGCTCTGGGCACACCCCAACTCACACATTTGCTTTCAACTCTACTACCTGTTTCTTGGGGAGGAGAAATCCTATCAGATATGGTGACACATGCCTGTAATCCCAGTCCCTGAGAGGTCAAGGCAGGAGGATCAAGGTCAGCCTGAGCTACAATATAGAGTCCCAGGCCAACCTGGGCTACAGAAGAGTCTGCCTCATACAACCAAAAAAAGAAAAAGAAAAAAGGAAAAAAAAAAACCCTTTAATCAGAACTTCTATAAAGAGAAATGAAGCACTGTTACATCACACTTCTAGGAAATTATACTCCAGATGTGTAAAATGCAAAATGAATATTAACACATAAAAGTCACACAAAAAATGCAAGGTTGAAATTAATGGTTATAAATCATAATAACACCATTCTAGACATCCCAAGGAATTTCAAATACACAGGAATGAAACTCACACAGCACACTTTAAGAATGAATGCTAAGCCAGATGTCGTGGGGCACACCTTTAATACCAGCACTTGGGAGGCAGAGGCAGACAGATCTCCATGAGTTCAAGGCCAGCCTGGTCTATATAAGGAGTTTCAGGACAGTCAGGGCTACACAGTGAGACCCTACCTAAAAAAAAAAAAAAAAAACTAAAAAATACTACCTGAATATTATCAATTTTTCCAAATTGCAGCTACTAATGGTCTATTCACACCAGAGAATATACAGGTATCTATATACTGTAACTATAAAGTGATTTGAGATTGGATTTTACCCATTTCAATCACTATAGTATTTAAAATATACATGTTTATAAAAATTAGTGTGCATGTTTTATTTAAAATGCTTTTACTGCCTTTTACTGCTAAGGGTGAGACAGGGTCTCATGTAGCCCATGCTGGCCTCTAACTATTATGTAGCTGATCTTCCTGCCTCCATCTCCTGAGCACTGGAATTACAGGTTTATGTGGGGCTGGAGAGCGAACCTAGGGCCTTAAGCATGTTATACAAGCAATCTACCAACTGAGCCACATCCCCAGCCTTAAAATGCTTTCTATGCAATGTTTTAATTAACAAATGAATACAATATGCTGGAAACTTTATATTTTTAAAGTATCTCAGCAAGTTGATTTTAAAATGTTATATACAAACTTAAAGGTACAACACTGTAGATGATTTCCTCAAGATTTTTTTTAATTTGATTTATTTTTATTTTATGTGTATTAGTGGTTTGCCTGCATGTATATAAGTGCCCCTGTGTTCGTGAAATGCCCTAGGAGGTCAGAAGAGGGGATTGGATCCCTGGAACTGGAGCTAGACAGGTGTGCGCTGCCATGTGGGTGCTTAGAACAGAACCCAGATCCTCTGCAACAGCAGCCCGTGCTCTTAACCACTGAGTCATCTCTCCAGTCCCTCCTCAAGATATTTGTAAGCAGAATAAGCAAAATCATGCGAGGATAAATTATCTGTGTAGATAAAAGAAATATGCAGGTGAAACAATAGTGAGCCAGCATAACACACCTCACAATAGCACACTGTTAACACAGACAAACATGTCAGAACACCTATAGCATCACGCAGCAGCACACAGTGGCAAGAGAGAATGGCAAAAGCTGCTTTTTTATGTAAAGACAGGATCTCACAACGTAAGCCAGACTGGCCTAGAACAATGTAGCCAGGCTCCAAAGGCTAATCCTACAGCAGTCTTTTGTTGAGACACTTAGGCACGTTCTGTTTCTAACCAAACCTGCTTCAGTCTTTGTAAAAAGGGGGAAAACACAATCCTACAGGCTGTCACTTGAGTTTGAGATTAATGAGCTCCCAGTCTCTGCTGGCTATCATGATGCAAGTAACTCGCTTCAGCAACAGGGAAGGAACAAGTGCCTTAGATTCCTGCCAGGATCTGACTTGATACCAAATCAGGCTCATTCTAAGTATGAGCATCAAAGTAACAGACTTCCCTTGTACGGAGTAAGAATGGCAACAAGAGTTCATAGTACTATTCAGGGAATGGATATATATTATTATTTACCTCAGGCAATGGATATATATTATTATTTACCAAGCAAAACTTTGGTAAGAAAAATATACCTCCAAAGTTCTACTTCCCTTGGTGCAGTTATAAACAGCTCTCGTCTTTTTTTTTAAGGTTTTTTTTTAATTTATTATTTTTATTTTATGTGTATGAGATTGCCTGCATGTGAGTACACCCATGTCATGCAATGCCACAGAGGTCAGAAGAGGGCTTCAGATTCCCCTGGAACTGGAGTTAAGGATGACTCATACCCGCCATGTGGGTGCTGGGAGTGGAACCCAGATCCTCTACAAGAGCAGTCAGTGCTCTTAACCACTGAGCCATCTCTCCAGCCCCAGCTCTCATGTTTTATTGAATATAAGTAACTAAATAGTGATCACATCTGGGTACAATAGCACACATCTGTAGTCCTGACTTGAGAGGTTGAGGCAAGAGAACTGCTTATGGCCAGGAGCTGGAGGGTAGCCTGGGCTACACAGTGACCCTGTCTCTTTTAAAAAAAAAAATGAATATAGACATACACATTTGCCATATAAATATGGATCAAGAAAGCAAAGATCTACTAACATTCAAATAACTAAATGTGGTATCAGTATTATTGTGCAACCTTGTAATCATATTGAAACATGATTTTCATGTTGAAACATGAAAATATCTTTCAAAAGCTGTGTGTGTGTGCATGCGCAGAGGCCAGAGGAAGACACTGGATGTCATCCCTGTTTTGCTTGAGACATCTCTGATTGAACCTGGAGCTCGGCTAGGCTGCAGCGAGCCAAGCTCCAGTCATCCTCCTGTCTGCCGGGCTCCCAAGTGCTGGGGTGACAGGTGCAAGATGCGATGCCCAGTTTTTCACAGGGGTACTTAATCTGAACCCAGGTCCCTCATGCTTCCACAGCAAGAGCTCTTACCCATGAGTAATCTTGCCAGTCCTCCCCACCACCACCTCTTTAAAGTCATGCCAGAAGTAGCTCAGAGCAGTAACCAAAAGACAGGCTCTGGAGCCAACACACCCAGGTTGAATTCAGGTTCAGCAATTTGCATGTTAACTGTGGATAAGTTATTTAACCTTTCCTAATTGTGAGTTACTAAGCTATGTTCAAATTTCATACTAAGTGCTCAACAAATGTGAGTTACTATTACCTGTAGGAAAAAGGGAAAAAAATTCAAGGACTGCTAATAGGCCTTGATTTCCACTCTGCTAACAGCTCATCACAACAATAAACATTAGGAATAAAACAAAGACTTTCACTTTCACCCCTGTAATCAGTACAGTATTGGAAGTCTCAGCCAGAGTAAGAACATGAAAGTATCCAAAGAGAGAAGTCAATACCTGCTTGCACATGGTATTAGTTTAGATGTAGAAAAATCTAGCAAAGCTACCAAAAAAACTGTTAAAAGTGATAAACAAATTCAATAAGGTTACAGAATACCAGAACG